ACCTGCCTATTACTTAATTCGCGAAGCGTTTACCGCGTCCATTAATGTACAAGCAATTCACTTACTAGCTATCCTACATACGCGGAGTTCATGGTTGGACCCTAGCTTCTGTCTAACATGTCTCCCCTGCATGGTCTATAACATACATCTTCTCTACTTCCTTTCATGTCTTCATTCTACCTTCTTTCCGCTTCTCCCGTTCACTCCTTCTGCCCGTGCTATGTCATCTCTACATTTATCTCTATCTTCCATATTCTCCATACTCTCTCTCTCTATAACGCTCTAATCCTCGCTTCGCATCATCTCTTCTGCGCTCCCATCTATTCTTTACGCTCTTCTACTGTCTTACTCTCTCCTCTCCTTTTCGCTCTTCCTTCTTCATTGCAGACTATTGTGTGCTAACAATCATCGTCATCGCTACAAAAGCTATTATCCTCATAGTTTTTTCGTGGAATATAATATAGGTTCTCTCTATTCGGATGACTCTCTTAACTTAACAATTTATCCATTAAGTGGCTTTTGAATAATAAATATGTGATCTCGTACCTATTCCTGCAATGCATCGAGGGCTCTTTACGCACGCTAGGCCAAGAATCTCCCGTATATATTCATATAACTCGTGTGTGGATGAGTCGCGTCCGGCCCAAGCATTGAGAATTGGCAGGATACAGAATTTATGATGTACATCACAGTTAACTTTATGCCATTATTGGATGGAGGAGGAGCTAACCACATATAAATTAATATGGGGTGTCATGAAAAACGGCACGGTCATCGAATTTTAATTCTACACAATAAAGACACTTCGTCACACTGTAACAGTTTCTCACGAGACGCGAGAGAGAGTTCGTCAGTGCCGTTGAAGGAATGACGCAAGAGAAGTAATATTAAGAAACAGAGTAAGCAGAATGCCAGACTCAACGCATTTTGTTAGAATGTTTTGACACTTTTGTTCTTGCCTTCGACGATCGGTAGAGTTAGCATGTTGATTTGGACTGGTGTGTGGGAGATCCAAGAAAAACACATTGCATATACTCATTAATATAAAATTACTAAATATCACTATAATTGTAATTCTTAGTCTTAAGTGGTGCTGATATTTTCATGACTTAATATTTAAAAGTTAAGCGAGTGCTGCTATGCATCTCTAGTTTAGAGAGTTAGCGTCTGGATTTCTAGCTAAGGATTCTGCTCTAGTTAAGCAGAAAAGTTCGCAGATTTGGTATTAGTTCTTGATGTACTGAGTTAGACGAATAGTTGTTAGCAGCATATAGCGGCTATTAAGGTGTTACAAAGAGTGTAATGTTAAGGTTAATGTTAAGAGCGAAGGCCCCAGGCCTACTGAATAATATTGTATCCAGCCGAACGAAGTTCGTGGATGCTATGGGTTTGGCATCGTCCCGCACCGCCGCCGCCGCCGCAGAGTTTCCTACTGTAGACGCTCTACCCGCGGCCTGCCAGATTATTTCCTACGGAGCTCATTCTTTCAAATTTCGCCATGGAAGCGTGCGCTATCGTAAAGCGAAGACGCCTATCGTTTATTTGGTGTTGGCGGAAGTCCACTGTAGTTGCCGACATGGGAGGGTAACAACACATTTTTTTGTCCGAAATATTCTAGAACTGTAATTCTGCACTTATTTACCCGATTGTCATTGAGGTTTTTTTGTTATTAAATTTAATTTAAAATTTAATATAAAAATTAAATTTAAAATTAAAATTAAAATTTAAAAACAAAAATTTAAATTTTAATATTTGTATTAAATTTGTATTTTTAATTTATGATTGTCCCCGAATTTTTTTCAAAAATTAAAATATATATATATATTAACATTTATATATATATCTAAATACATAATAGAACATGTTATATTCGGCCCTCTGTGTGCCAAATTCCATGACAATCGGGTAAAAAACAGCCACAAGTTACAGGCTTCTACAATATTTCCACAAACATGGGTTACCATGGCAACGATGATCTCCGCCCACCCAATAACGAATGGCGTCTTCGCTTTACCATAACGCACCTTCATGCCAAATTTGAAGATGATCCGAGATCGTGGTAAAAACTCCCCACCGGTCACTGCGACATTTATTTCACCTTTACCTTACTTGTACGTAGTAGCCACGTCCTAGCGCCTACGACTGTTTCACGTCAAAACCTTACGTACATATTTCTCTTCCGCTCTCTTAACTCAGCCCTTAAGATTGGAGCACCCTGAAGCGCGGCGACCAAACTTTGTATGCTTCCACATCTTGGGGAGCAAGGTCTGTCGTCCATCTGCCATTCACCTTAGTTTGACCTTTCACACGTCCGACTTTTAATTTCCTGCATTCGGCCTCCTAGCCGGGCTAACCCAGCATTCCATTACTTGCATCTGAGGCACACAGTTGTACTACAAACCTTTGTCTTTCTTTGACTTATTTAAACTTACCTGCCCTTTTCTACGTCATTACGAGATATTCCATTCATACTAGACCACGCGGGGCGTACATGGTCCACGGGGTAGTATGTTTGTTGTATGTAGTATGTTTGTAGTTAAGACTTGGTCTATACGTGGCGGAAGTGAGTTTGTCTGGCCGACGTGAACACGTGTATGGGTGGAGAGGCCCTACCGGAGATTACGTGGCGCTTACTACGTACAAGTATTCTTGGCTAGTTTGTTTGATGTGAAACTTGGTGTGATGATTATTGTCGTCGGCTGAATATGCAGGCCGTACGCAATAAGGAGACATTAGTCTCTAACGAAGTGAGAGAGAAGAATCGGCAAGTAATAAGAAATTAAGAAATGAGGTATGAGTGTTTATTTACGAATAGGAATCCGCAAGCTCTTTTATTAAGTGCGCTAGAGTAGTCGGAGAGGGCTCAGTGTTGGAGTGTAGTTGGAGGAAGAGTCAGAGAAAAAGTGTACTTCGAGTGACGAGAAGAGCAGCACAGAATTGTAGCATGATGAGAGAGAGAAGTGAAAGGTGGAAGAAAAGAGAAAAGAGTCTCAAAAAAAATGGTATGAAATGATAATTCAGCTGGATTTGTTCCCAATTTCGTGTTTGATGTTCACTCGGAATGACTGATGGATGAGAGTGGTAGTTTAATTGATAGATTCCATCATCACACCCCACAGAGGCCATGATGGCGAGAGAGCGCAATCAAGGAGCTCGGTCACAGTACCTTGTGTGAGATGGTGCGTTTTGGAAGTGCGAGCTCTCCTCACTGCTCTAAGGTGTGCATTTTTTCCAGTGAGTGCTATTCATCATCGCTCCTAAATGGGTGTGATTATGCGAGGTGAAAATGACCCCCCGTATCGGTGTCCTAGGGGGAGTCATAGATAGGTGCCTCCTGTACTTTCCAAATGTGAAAGCTTGCATTACGCGGAATTATTTTATCACTCACCGAATACTACAATCTATGTACCTTGGTTTGTGCCTATGTGCTCCGCATCATAGTCATCTACACCTCTCCCTGAACTGCTATGCAAGTTTGCAGTGTGTTGCTTTTGTTACTGTATACCAAACAAATCGTATAGATGTTCATAATTAAATCATGTCCACAGAGTGAACCACTCGCACTCTCAAGGTAACAGAGATAAATTATTTTAGAATAGTGCTTTAAACTCCAAATTCTAAAACACAATTTTAACGTAGCAGTTGCTCAAGCTATCATAAGTAATATGTCTTTACATATTTAATATGTATTTGTCAGTTCTATCTATATGAAGTTGTGGCTTCACTGTCCGGCAAGTTTATTAGAGAAACAAGTTGCCGCCACGGCGACATGCGCTTTACCTGACGGCAGGTGTTCTAATGCTAAACTCATGGCAAAACAACCAGAGCACCCTTCCCATCGCCGCGTTCGCTTCGCCTCGATTGTTTCTCTCATTCTTGTTCTTTCCGCCTCTCGCGCTCTTGCTCTCTCTTTCCTTTCGGCGCTCTCTCGCTCGATTTCACACTCTCTTCTCTTTCTCCCTCTCTCTCTGTGCTCTTGGGGGCTCTTTCTTCCCTTCACGCTCTCTCTCTTGCTCGCTCACCTCGCCACTTCCCTCGTTGCTAAGCTTTCAGATTTGAAAAGTACAGGAGGACTACTAATGACTCCCCTAGGACACCATAGGGGGTCACAAAGCTATTGAATGAATGAAGGTGAAGATGAATGATAATCAGTGGATTGACATGAAATCCCAATTTTCGTTTTTGATTTCACTCTAGACTGATATGAAGATTGGTCATGATTCCATAATCACACCATTAAGAGGCATGATGGAGAGCTCCACTAAAAAAATCACACCCTTAAGAGGCATGATGGAGAGCTCCACTAAAAATCACACCCTTAAAAGGGATGATGGAGAGCTCCTTGAGGGCTCTCCATCATGCCTCTTGGGGTGTGATGATGGAATCATGACCAATCTTCATATCAGTCTAGAATGAAATCAAAAACGAAAATTGGGATGGCATGTCAATCCACTGATTATCATTCATCTTCACCGTCATTCATTCAATGGCTTTGTCATGATACATTTTTTCATCCAACAACCCAACACTAGCACACAGATTAATAAAAGAGTTGATCGGATGTAAAAATAAACTTGTTTTATTTATTCTGATCTTCATTCTTGGAGACTAATCTATGTACCTGCATATTTCAGCACGAAATATCATCACATTCCATCAACAAACTAGTCAAATTACTTGTACGTAGTAGCCACGTATGTAGCCCCTCCAGCCCTACGACTGTTCCACGTCGGCAGAAAACTACTTCTCGCCACGTAGAGACCAGTCTTAACTACAAACATCCTACATACTAACAAACATACTACCCCCCGTACCAATGTACCCCCGTGATCTAGTATGAATGGAATATCTCTGTAAGGACGTAGAAGGCAGGTAAAGTTAAATAAGTCACAAAGACAAAGGTTTGTTAGACAACTGGTGTGCCTCAGATGTGCAAGTATATGGAATCTGGTTTTGGTATGCGACAGACCTTCTCTCCAAGATGTGTAAGCATACCAAGTTTGGTCGCGCTAGGTCAATTAGGGTCTGAGTTAGAGAGCGGAAGAGAAATGTGATCAAGGTCAAGGTAAAGGTGAAATAATGGTCGCAGTGACCCGGTGGGGAGTTTTTACCCGATCTCGGATCATTTTCAAATTTGGCATGATGGTGCGTTATGGTAAAGCGAAGACGCCAATCGTTTTTGGGGTGGGCGGAGTCATCGTTGCCATGGTAACAACATTTTTGTGGAAATATTGTAGAACCTGTAACTTATGCTGTTTTTACCCGATTCATGGAATTTGGCACACAGGGCCGATATATAACATGTCCTATATATATATATGTTTATATATATATATATATATATATATTGATGACAATCATAAATT